GTATCAGATACCCCTTAGGTACCATCTTCAGAACTTGTGGGCTTGAGTTCTGGAATTCAGACATATTGGAGAATTTGCTGATGCATCCCACACCCATTATTTCCAGAAGATAAGAATAAGAGATAGCCAATGGCTGATGCAAGCCATCTAAAGAGTCTGTCTGTCTGTCTGTCTGTCTGACACACACTATTATTATTAGATTAGATATTATTTTATTCTACTCATTTTATTGTAAGCAGTCCCAAGACACTAGCAGTGGATGTGGTAGAACAGCTTTTAATAAATAAAATAAATAAATAATAAATATTTAATCTCAGCTGCAATGAACTGTGACTACCAGTTGAAAATATTCTTGTGGCAGATCATCTATAAACACTCTTGGAGCATACAGATGATGTAGACACATTCGAGTCTTGATTTCAAGCTGGTCATAGGACTGAATCAGCCTTGGTTTTGATAATGTGACCATCCATCATGCCTGAAGCCCTGACAGGGGCAGCACCTCACAAGGAGGTCTTGTGCTTGGGACCCTGTGCCCAAATGTCAACCCCACAACCAAATGTGGGGGTGGCTGAGCAGATAGCTGTACCTCGCCCTGACTCCCTGCCCATTGAGCAAACACCCGAGCCCACATCAAAGCAAGAGAGCCCCGTGGGAAAAGGCACTACGAGTCCTACTCAGAAAGAGTTAGAGCAGACTGTCCCTCCTGCTACTGAGGCTGAACTTCCTGAGCACAACACAGGAGACGCAGGGGCATGATAGACTTTTCCCTAGCAACCAATCGCAGAATTCTGAAGAGGTGGGAACAAAGGCAAACCTTGTTACACCAGAGAGAAGAAAGGCAGGGCCAAGAGAGCTAGTCTCATGTGGGCTCAGGGAGAGATGCCACTAAAGGATTAGCATCTGAATTGCAAAGATCTCAACAGTAGAGCTTATCTGTAGAGTTGTAAATCTTGTAGATAAGTAGCAATAAAGGACTTGTAAATAAGTAGCAATAAAGTGTGGGTTGTTTACATGTCAAGTCACACCTTGACACCATCTTAATTCTGCTCAGTATCTCATCAACTTTCAACCCCATCAGTCTTCCTGTTGTTTTATGTAGCATTTATTTATTTAATCCATTTAGATGCCTCCCAATAGTCAAGGCTATCCAAGAGGTTAACAGAAGTTAAACTAAACTTAAAAAGACACACATACAACAATAAAATTAAAGTAACAAAACCACAATTGCAATGGCTGTTGTTCATCACAGCATGACAGCGTCAACACAGAAATCAAATGGGATATAGAAAAGCTAGATCGGGCATGTCCAAAGTCCAGCCCAGGGACCAATTGCGGCCTGTTTTCAAATTTTGAGCGGCCCGCAGCCTCTTCTCCCCGCCGGCTCAGCCTGTCACTCATCCCCGCTGGGCTGATTTTCCCTTCACCGCACAGTGGTTCCCGCAGCTGTTCCCTGCTGCCTCCTGCTTCTTCAAGGCTGGTGGTTATATTTCACCAGAAGATGGCAGTAGACCTGAGTCAGCACACTTTTTTCATCTCCTTTCTCTGTGGACCCTGATGATGCTCCAGACCACCTGCAGCTGGAGCTCATTGAGCTGCAGTGTGACGCCGAGTGTCACAGTCGGCACCAACAGCTCCCTCTTGTCAACTTTTACCACCAGCTGGATAAAGACAGCTTCCAAGAGATTCGAACATTTGCTAAGAAAATGCTGAGCTTGTTTGGTTCGACATACTTGTGCAAGAAGACATTCTTGGTTATGAACATTAACAAGAACCGTGTGAGAACGAGACTAAGTGACTTTTACCTGTGTGACATCTTGTGCATCAAAACCACTGTTTTTGAGCCAGACCTGGCCTATATAATGCAGTCGAGAACTCAGTATCACCCTTCACATTAGTGCAGTTATTTGTTTAGTCTTTCATAAAATCGTGTCATTTGCATTTAATGTTAATGGTTCAAAGAATGTCAGGCTGAATGGTCGGCCCACATACATTTTCACCTCACCGAATCTGGCCCTCCTTGCAAAAAGTTTGGACACCCCTGAACTAGGTGGTTAAATTTTAAAAAGTTAGATGGTTAAAAAGCTTGGAAAATAAAAAGGTCTTCACCTGGTGCTGAAAATAGTACAAAGTAGGTGCCAGGTACACATCTCTGGGGAGCTCATTCCAAAACCAGGCTGCTGCAACTGAAAAGGCCCTCCTCCTAATAACCACCACCTCACTTCCTGTGGAAGGAGCTCCTGGAGAAGGACCCCCAAGGATGACCTCAGATTCTGGGTTGGGTAGTTATACATGGTGTTCTAGTTCAGTGAGCTGAGCACCAGAGATGCTGTGTTCTTATCGGTGCAGTGTTTCCTGTGGGTTAATTGTCAGAGAATAACATTGATGAGTGTTCCTCACCTCCTTGACAATTGAGCAATGGGATTCTGCAGGGTACCAGATTATCCCCAGCATTTTTTCACATCTGTGAAGTCACTGGGAGCAGTTAATAGGGGATTTCACATCGCATGAGATCAGTATGTTGAGGAAACATAGTTCCATGTCCCAAAGTGTAGGCTCAGTAATGGTCTGGATGATGACCAATACATTGAAGGCAATTCTGGTCCTGTGAGTGAGTGGTTCCTCTTTTTTGGAGGTAGGCTTGTTGTTTGTTTTGGATGAGTTTACATTCCTTTTGAAAGATGAAGGCCTCCTAAGAGGGTCAGTATCTCCATCTTAACCCATGTGATTTAAATCTCACTACAAATCATGCAGCTGGTTTTTACTATGATTGGTAAAGTCCTAAATCTTTATGCTACCATTTATAATTCCTCCCTGTACCAGGGGCTATCGCGTGAGCTAGAGAAAATGCATCTGAAATCCAAAGTGTTGTCAAGCAGAATAATTATCCAAATAATGTCTGTTTTTCAGTATTAAGGATGGGAACTGTAGCTCTTATGATACCAAATATGGTCCCTGTGTGCTATTGTTTCCCATAGTAGGTTAATGCTGGATAAATAAATATTCAGCTAATTCCCCTCAGCAAGTAGCAGGGAATGCCTATGGGACACTGTGTGGTGGTGTATGATGCTGCCTTGTAGGATATTAAAACACTTGACTTGTGAAGATGTTTGCACACTTTCTCCATTCTCCAAACAATCAGCCTCACTGACCCATTACTGGATTATTTCTGCCATGGATGGGGTGAGTACTCAGAAAACCAAAATATTATTTATGCAGGATAGCTCACAATCAGATTGCTCTTACCCATCATGCAAGCATGGTTGATAATGTCAAC